AAGTCCGGGGTTAGGCTTGGCGCGGGGGCCGAGGCAAAACATCATTGGACCATGCTGAAATAGAGCTAATTAATGCCTCGGTGATCTCCTCAAATCCGTGGCTCTAAAAATTGGGAGGAGGATGCCCTGTCAAGAATCCTGCTGATGGTTTTTGTACCTAGCTAGGAATTTCCACTAATTAAACAGATTCTGTACATGCATCAAGTTTATTAAAATTCCACTGGCTGAGGGCGTATTTCAGGAAACAATGCATTATAACGTATAAACATCGAATTGACTAGATAATCAAGAAATTATGGTATACTTTGGTCTTTGTCACCTTCAGCAGCGGAGGGCAGCGGTGGCTGGTGTGATCCTAATGTCAGTGCTATTCGGTGCTACAGTGAAGCATGCCATTTTTCGTTTTCAGCAAATGCATGTAGAGTAAAATCAGTTTGATCAATTTGCATTGCCAGAACAGACATTTGAGACTGGGTAGGAGAAAGCAATCCAGGAGAAATCAGTCCAATTTTAAATTTGCCAGATTAACCTATGTGTGGGAAGTTAAGATTCATTTCATCTTAGCCGTAGTGTTACATCATTCATACTATTTTTCCCCCACGAAGATGGGCACTTTATTTCGTAACTTAATAGAAAGTAGGTGAGCATGTTTCATGTATATTGGTGGTGCCCAAATTTATTGTGTGTCAATGTTTAGAACTTGAAATGTCTTATTTTATAAGCTATTTCAAATAGTGGTTAGAGTCTTCAAGGGGAATTAAATCAAAATTCCAATGCAGTGTGCTGGAAAGTGTGGGTACAGCGGGGAGGAAAAGAAGAAAGAAGAGGAATGATTTTTTTTTCCCTTCTGCTAGAAATAGTGGGTTCTAGGAAAAGTCTGGGTCAAATATAGAGAAGGTGAGTATGCTTTTGGTTACCCTGATCAATTGAGACAAAAGTAGTTGACTGAACGCCTGTGTACAAGGCGTTGAGTTAGGAGTACAAAGGGTTCAAAGACAAGGAAGCCACAAAAGTCGTCAGATGGCCTTAAAGTTCGGGGGAATATGGTCACATTTTGAGGGATGGGGAGTACAGCCTGAGCTCTTGTCCCAGGAGGGAAAAGTGAGTACGATAGGGAAGGGTGGGGAGAAGTTGGTGGAACTTACCTCGTCTAAAGCTCTTTTCTCCTTTCTGGTACCCTGTGTCCGCATGTCGCAAGCCCTCCTTTGTGGCATCTCATCCTTGCCTGCCCTGTGACCCTCCATTTCCTGTGACGCTCCCTAATTCTTCCTCTACCCAATTTCATTTTCCTCAATAAATACAATCTTACCCCTCTAAGAGGAGAAAAAAAAAAGAGTCTTACTAAACAGAGTTTGGCATTTGGCTTATGTTAACTGAGTGCCTGATAAATTCTGGTTATTCTAAGAAGCTGGGAATATGGGTGGTTGATGCAGACAGACAGACAGCTGTCCCGGTCAGGCGGCTGCAGACATTGAAAGTGTTCCAAACGGTGAAGTAGCGAGTGATCCAGGCGCAGGTGTACCTTCCAGGCAGACATGTTTTCGTGTGTCCTGGATGCCAGTACTGTGCTGGGGCTGAGCTTTCAGCGGTAAGAGGCAGCCAGAGAGGTAGGTGAGACAGAGCGCCTGGCTCTGCGGAGTCTGAAAGTTTGGGAGCCCGTTGAAGTGCTCAAGCAAGGAGGCGCCCCTGCTGGCTTGTTCTCCTCTCCTACTGCTCTAGTCAGGCACTCCTGTGGTTTGACAGGCACAGACCTGAGTCAGGGCCTTTGCACTGGCTGTTCCTTCACACTGGAACCTTCTTCCTGCAGATATCTGCAGGTGGCTGATTCCCTCATCTCTCTGAAGTCCTGGCTCCACTGTCATGTTCTACCTTCTCAGGAGCACTTGGCTGGCCACCTTCTTCTCCCCTGTAGATTGGACCCTCCTCCTTCCTTCCCCAGACACACACCTTCTTCCTTTGCTTTACTTTTTCTCCTTGGCACTTAAACCACCAGTCATCACACTATTGTTTGACCTTTTAATCTTGTTTATTGTGTGTCCTCTCTCTTTTCCCTTCAGCATACTAGAATTAAAGCCCACAGGGCAGGGGTTTTTGTTTGTTGTGTGCACTCACCTGTCCCCAGCACCTAGTTCATGGCTGGTATGTGGCATGATTCAGCAGCATATGCTGAGTGGATGAATGGTGGTATGATCCGGCTTCTTGCCTTGTGGAGAACTGGTTGGAGTTGGTGGCAGCTGTTTAAGAAACTGTGTAGAGAGACCTTTTATAATAGTCTGGGATGGGGGAGGCAAGGTGTTAGTTGCTTGGATGAAGGTGGTGGTGATAACCTTGGAGAGATACGGTTAGAAGATGCTTTCACTCTTCCGCTTTGTTGTCAAGGAAGCAGTGTGCCTTTGAACGTGTGGGAAGGGAGAGGCGTCCTTCTAGGTTTAAGGACCTGTGCTCTGAGGGTGAGTCCAGGTTGTGTGAAACAGCTGGTGCTATTGAAAACCTGCTTTGGGGGTTTATTTGGCCTCCCCGATGAGGCAAGAGAGCAGACTGCTTAAAACTCAGATCAGCCTCCACTACATCCATTCCCAAAGTCTGTAGATGTGCTCTCAGGAGAAGCTTCATGTTTAATTCTGCGAATTAAGCAAGTAGAGATATTTTTAAGATGATGTTTATTAGTTTCTGAGCAAGAAAAAAGGAAATTTCTTGAAACTGAAACTTTTTTTTTTGTCTTTTAGGAATATTAATGCAAAAGTGCCATAGTAAGGACATGAAAATCCTGGGGAAATACTATATTGCTGCATCCTATGTAAAGTATCTGGAGTCTGCAGGCGCGAGAGTTGTACCAATAAGGTATGATGCCATATTTTTTTTTACATTGAATAATAAAAACTGCAACTGCTATTTTAACTCTAAAGTGATCTTTTATCTCTAAAACTGATGCTTTCTCTCTTATGATTGCCTCATTTAAATGTGGTAATGTTACACCTGGTTTTGGTCACAAATCTAATGCTTAGAGTCTCTCATTGGGTGGTTTAAAGTGTAAAGCTCTGTGTATCTGTGATACCATTAGAGGTGAGTTACAGGTGTTAGATCTCTGTCTAATGTCTCTATGAAGTGGTGGGTTCCTTTACACCCTGGAAAAGGTGACCTTCATCAGGCATCAGGAAAGTTGTGGAGTACATGCATCTGCAGCGTCACCAGCTTCACTCCGCAGTACTAGCGTAAGGAGACACTCAGAGAATCGAGGCGCTTTTTTCTCCAAGAGGACTTTCAAAAAAGCTTCACATGCTGGAAGCTTGGAAGTGACTAACACAGCGGTGCTACCTCAGTATACCTTGTAGGTATTGCAGTTTTAAAAGAGCTGCGTTATTTCTGTGATCAATGACCTAGGAAGAATAAGCTGATTCATGTCGTGTTCATGATGTGATGTGACAGTAAGCGATTCATGTCATTTTAATTTGGAAAGAGTTGAATTTTTCAACAAACAAAACCTTGTGGGTATTGATAATTACCTTCTCATCTGAAATTGGTGTATTTTCGGATCTTCCAGCACCCTCGCCTATTCCATTATAAGGAATGTCACTCACAAAACACAACTGTTTGCTCTGGCAGCCTGTTTGTGTAAGTAATTTTGCACCAGAAAGCTGTAACCATGAAAAGTATTGTTTAAATAGAACATTAATACTCAAAGTGCAAGTATTACAATTTAGAGACTTGTACCACAAAATAGTTTCATGTTTAGATTCATAAGGATTGTCTTTTTGCTTAATCTTTTACAAATTGTCTCTGCTCCAGGGTGAACATTTGCTTTTGACATGAGTCTTTAATTTTACAGTAGCAGATCTAATTTTTCAAAAGAAATCTTATTCGGAACCCAGATAACAGCAGGGTTTTAGAGCCGAGGCAGAGGCTCTGGGCAGTCTTTAGGACCAAGTTTCAAAGTTTCAGTCCTAGAAGCTTCCTCTACAGGCTCTTCTTTTAGGACCTAGTGCTGATGACATGGCTGGAAGGTAGGAGAGACAAAGGCAGGTAGACCTGTTCAGTAACTGCTGCTAGGTGTGAGTGGGCTGGGTTTGAAGTGATGTGGGCTTGGCCTAGTGCAGTGTTTGTAGGACCCAGAAGTAAATGTCCTTAAAAAAATTAACAAGACTTGATGACTAATAGAATGAAAGGGCACAGGGAAGAATAGACGAGAATGACAGAAGTTTTGAAACTGGGGAAGTTTTGAAACCAGGGAAATTTTGAAATGGGTGGCTCTTAGAATGCTGGGATTTATGGCTGAGACACTGAAAATGTGACTGTCAGCACTCAGGTTTGTTTCCAGCTTGGGTTCCCAGATTTCAATTTAAGGTGTATTGCTCAGAATTAGAATCATATGATCCTATAAAAGCAATGTAAGACATGACAACTAAATTCCCAGAAGAACCCACAAAGGGTTACCTAATGTGGAATGAGACAGGTGGCTGCCCCAATGACGTTGGGTTCATTTCTGAATTTGGATGCTGGGGGCCAACTTCTGCAGTTCGGAAGAGAAAAGGAGGCGGGTGGGAGACCAAGGCAAAGTTCTAGAACAGGTGAGGAGGCTTGTCTTTGGTCTCCTTCCGCCTTTTCTCCGCCGCCTTCTCCCTCGGGTGCCTGGTGCACTCAAGTTACTAGAAACTCCGGCCATAGGACTAGTGGAACCCCCAGAGTGTCCTCCTCCTGAGACGTTTAAATATATGTTTCATTCACACTGTGTTTTAAAACACTTCAATATTTACAAATCAGAAGACTTCATGAAAGTCTGAATTTCTGGTTCTTTTCTTTGAAGACAATTCAAACTGGAGCCGGTTTTCGGTGGAGCAAGTGCCTTCCATTGGCAACAGTGCCTGCCGCTCCTCTTGCTACTGAAGCTGTGTCACTTGCCATCATTACCAGACCGAAGCCGTTTTCCTTCAGTTAAAGAGAACCTGTTGAGAGGGTCTTATGTTTCTAGAAAGTCTGACAACATGCAAATAACATCTCTGTTCAAAGAATGTGACCTGGCCTGTTTCCCTGTCAGGCCTCTGAGGCTCTTGAGTTTGTGACACGAGGCTGCTCCACCTCCCCCAACTCATCAAGCCCTTTAACATCGATAAGCAGGACCCCAAAATTCAGTCGTGGACAATGCGGGAGCCATTTACTTTAGAATTAATGGAATGACTGGAACTGGCCTGCGTGGCTAGTTGGTAGCAGGCCCTGGAGTGCAGCTGAGTGACCTAAGTCCATTCTGGTTCCTCATGGTGGTGGCTACCCCTCTGGGTTTAAATATCCATGGGGAAGATTCTGGGTCCCGACTGGTTTCCTCTTTGTGGTACAATCTGGGGAGACTGAACTGGCAGAAAACGGGCCCACGTTTCATCTCCCTGTTGCTTCCTGGGTCGGGGCCACCTGCCCAATTTCCCATGAAAGATGGTGGTCAGACCATTGCAGTGTCACCCACTGCTTTGTGGCTCTCTACCAGGAGGAGGATTATTGTGGATGTCTGAACAGCAAAGCTTGTGTGGACTCAGGGGAGCGCGCAGAGGGCTTTGCTGGCAAAGCCCAGCCGCGTTCTGAGCACCAGGCATCTACTTAGTAAGGGGGGAAGTGTCCTGACGTCCTCTGAAGCTTTCCTCAGGGGCAGGAATGGGCTGCAGGTGATACTTGATCTTCAGCCTACTTCTTTTATGGCAAGTTGAGAAGAACTGTGCCTTCTTACTCTCTTGCAGAACCAGAAGACTGCTAAGTGTAGAAAAGCTCTTGCAGGAGTTCATAAACATGATGCTCTCTTCCCTTGCTTTTGTATTTTGCTGAATGTTTAGAAGAGCGAACCCATCTTACTGTGACATAAAGTTGTAGCCAGTTGTCGCAGATTAATCACTTGAGTTTTCTCTGGCGAGGGGGATAAAATCATCCATAACTTGGTGGTTGTCAGGAAGCCCTTACGAGATGTTTGATGAAGGGTGTTTCAAAATGATTACCTGGGCAAATTAGGCCCGTCTGCAGGGATCTGCATGAGGTCTGTACCTAGATCTCAACTCTTCTGACTTTGGAATACACAGTGGTTCTGAGGCCTTTGCGGCTGGCGATAGGGGTGGGGTGAAGCAGAGACTTGGTGTTTGTATGTATCCACCATAGCTACCTGTGGTTAAGATAGGCATGTTGATGAATCTCTTCATTTAGTCCTTACATAAAACTGCCCAATATCCTTACCTTTTTGGGATGGTTCTTTGCTTGCAGGAAATCACTGGCACCCAAGTCTCATGGTCTTTAATGTTTTGCATATTAATATGTCTCACAATATTAAGTTATATTAGACCACAGAAAAACACATTTGCTTGTCTTATTAGCAAAACAAGGATATAATTATATGGCTTTCTTGTAGTTTGGGAAAATGCCTCTAGGAAGGCAGAGAGGTGATGTTGTCCAGTATTTAAGAATTATTTCCCATCTTGCTTTTAAAAATTAATACTGTGACTTTATCTAAAGGCTAATTTTTTATTTTAAGTTTTGGAAATGGATGTTTTGTAACTTTTTTTTTTTATTGTTTTCAGGCTTGATCTTAAAGCTGAAGAATATCAAAAACTTTTCCAGTCTATTAATGGGTAAGTTGCCAGCGTTGGTTTAGTACAGTGTGGGGGGCCTAAGAGATCTGCTTTTGTGAAAACGTACACATAAATATACATGTTTCTGCATAACTACCTTACAGTGGTGTAACGTTAGTTTTCTGAGTTCTTTTATAGGAATTATTTTTTTTTTTAGGGATGCAAAAGTCCTGCAGAGAGGAGAAGGCAGGTTAAAGAATAAATATTACACAGCAGACACGTATATTTCTTTAAACATGTGACATAATCTTTATGCTTTTAATGCTTGTCTTAAATGTTTCGGAGCAACTTTGGATGGCATGGCAGGCATACTGCTTGCTTAGGGGGTTTATAAGCCCTAAGACTGAGGATATTAATGGGTCATCTTGCAGAAGGTAATTTGAATAGCACTTGGGAAGAAGTAACACAAACCCTGAGGGGAGATCTCCTCTTTTTATATTATGCGCAGGTTAAAAACGAGGGTTTCTATAGATGCTTCTCTGAATCACTATTGTTACCTGAACAGTGTGATTTTGGGGGGGGGGAGGTAATTAGATTTATTATGTATTTTAAAATTATTATTATTATTATTATTTTTAGTGGAGGCACTGGGGATTGAACCCAGGACCTTGTGCATGCTAAACACGTGCTCTACCACTGAGCTATGCCCTCCCCCAACAGTGTGATATTATGATATGAAACAAGCAAGGCGTATAGTGGTGTGTGTAGTATACTCCCATTTGCTGGTTTTTAAAGTTAGGGTAAGAAGATACGTGTAACATATGTCTATCAGGTCAACACAACAGATTTTAATGCTAGTTGTTTCTGATTGGGCGTAGGGTTGAGGAAGTCCATTTTACTGTAAAGCTTTTATTAAAGGAGGTTTTTTTTTCTTTTAAACAGTGTTCATTTATTACTTTTTTAAAAAAACATCTATGTTCAGAATAGTCATTGCATTCAGTTCAATTTGGATCAGTAAATATTTACTGTGAAACTAGTTCAATTTAGTAAAACATTTACAGTGCCTGTTCTGTGCAGTGTACTTTGTCATGGACAAAGGTAAATGAGTCCAGAATAGAATATAAGGTAGAACCTCAAAAATACGCGAAAATATAACCAGACAGTGACCAGTGCTCTAAGGGTACCTCAGAAACACCTTTCCTGAGCCCTGTTTTGCAGGAGCCCCCGTGCAGGGTTGTAGGGGTGCATAGATGAAGAGGTGCACAGGGAGGGCCTTGCTTTGAAGGCGTTTGTCCACTAGGAGGGACAGTCAAGTTTACTTTATGAAAGGATTTTGAGCTCTTTAAATACTGAGTCAGTGAAAGGGAAATACCGCTAGTGAGTCTTCGCTGGGCCGCTTTGAGCTGTGGGGTTTTCTGCATGGTTTTGTGGCATGTGTTCTACTTTATAGTTTGTTATGTTCTCTACTAGACCGTGATCTTACCAACAGCAAAACTCACACACCTTTGCCCCTTCAGAATAATACCTATCGTTGAATGAACAACAGTCTCAAAAGTGATATTTTACATGTCTCAAATTTATATATAAATATCATCACAATTTTGAATATACTTAATCAACCTCTGTAATCTCTTTTGAATATCTTTAGTTGCTTTAAGATCTGTTGCAATTTTTAAAATTTAAAGTTAATTTTTAAAAATGTTAATTTAAGACATTGATATAGAAACAGAAATATTTTTCTATATCCCTCCTCTATGGGATAAAGTCAAATCAAATGTTTCCATCCCTACCCTTTTTTCCCTAGTTTTTTTTTTTTTTAGAATTGTAATTGTGTTCTTTTTCAAAATTTTGTAATACCATGCTTATTTCTGAAGAGATCTCAGGATAATAATAACCCATTAAATTTTCATGGATATTTAATTATAGCCTACTATATTTTCATGACTAGTTTGTTCTTTATGGTGAAGAAATTTTTTTGTGTGAGCCAAGACTGAGTCATGATTATGGACCTGCAGTTAATTTCAGCATCTCTGATCACCTTAATTTAAGCATAGTTATACCTGGAATTTTATTTCTACTTGATTTCTAGCTCTGTGTACCATCCTCCCCTTTCCTTTATTTACCTTTAATTTATCTATCCTCTATTTCAAAAATAAACCTGTTTATCCAAGAAGTTTGAAAGAATAGGCACAAATGCATTGTTAACTGCAGTAGTTTTCAAACGGGTGGGATTATAAATATTGTGTATTTTCTTTTTGCCTTTTCTCATTTTCTATGATCTTGCTGCTTATGTTATAAGGAAAAGTTGTTTTAAAATAAAAAGATGGTTTATTTCCTGCCGGGGGCAGGGGTTGAAATGCACCCTATTTGACACTGTTTCAGGGTCCTTTTCCCAGGAGGAAGCGTTAACCTCAAGAAGTCAGGTTACGCCCAGGTGGCCAGAATATTTTACAAGTTGGCCATACAGGTAAATATCAGTTATTTCCTGTTATTCCAGGTGAGTTTTTGTAATTTTTTTGTGAGGATAATTCTTCCTTTAAGCACATGGTAGGGCTTCCTTCACAGTTACTGCAGCCCGTCGCCCTATCACTTTCGGGGTGGCTCTCGCCCATCTTCTGTGTGCCTCTCTTACTCCTGGGCTTCCAGGACCCTCCAGGGCCCTGCTGCCTGGCCCTCTGCACTCGTTACTGTGCACCAGGCCCTCCTGGCGGCTTAGTGAGCTGTTTTTATTATGTACTGGGCATTGTTCATGTGTTACTAATTCTTGTCTCCCCTTGAAAGCTGCTCTTCGTTCCAACTCACTCAGCCCTCTGACCTTTCTTAGCAATTTCCTAAGACCGTCAGACTCCATGTGCGGTGGCTTGCAGGGCCTCTCAGCTCCCTGGGGGTCTCACACCAGGCCTGCCTTTGCACCATTGCTCAGACCCTGTCTGTCCCCTGAACTATCACCAGCAATTTTCGAATTCATCTTGCTGGCTCTATTCCCCTCCCGCCTTTAAATAGTTCTCTGAGGAATTGCTCTTAGTATATGAGATGCCTGTTAGAAAACTTAATGGCTGACCAGATAACCTGTAGGTTTTTATACTCTTTGAGTCAAGATGTCCAGTATGTCCACAACCCACTTTTTCTAGACTTCCCTTGTGCAGGTAATTCAAGCCAGGCTGGTGTTGCCAGCACATACTCTGCCCTCCCGCTTTCTGTCTGTTTCTTTCTGCCCCATCCCTGATTTGTGCCTTAGCCACCTTTCAGGGCCAGAGGGCAGCTCCTCTTCTGTGGAGGTTTCCCTGCCGACCCGAGCTGGAGTGGCATCCTTCCCCCTCCTAACTTTTAGAGTATTTTGTTGTAGAATTGTTCAGACACTCCAGCTCTGTGACATGACAGGGTCTGTGACCTTAAGGGGCTTGTATTCTCAGAGACAGATTATCTTGACGTTAGCTGTTCGTGTCTCATCAGACTTTGTGGTCCTGACACTTTTTGAGGTCTTCCTCATTTCCTAATGTTTGGAGCACCTGGTACATGCTCAGTGGATAATTCTGGAAAAACTAGTGAACAAAATTGAAATTTGATAATGTGAGTGATTTAAAAGGCATTCAGGAAACGTATACACGAACATTAATAAAGTCTCTTCCTTTTGCTTACAAAGACTCGTGTAACTGGCTTTTTCAGTTAAAAAACAAAAAAATAAGGAGCTACCTCACCCATAAGACTCAAAGATCTATTTTTAAAATGTGATTAGCTACTGGAAGATTTCAAAGCAAAAGAAAACGCTTAGCAACCTTGAACTTCCCTGTCTTGTAATCACAAACCAAATGTATAATTTTTATTTTGAGAAGTTTGAATGAGCTTTGTTTTCTCTTTACTCTGCTAAGAGTTTTGATGATGGAGACTATTTTCCCGTGTGGGGCACATGCCTTGGATTTGAAGAGCTCGCCTATCTGATCAGTGGAGAGTGCTTGTTAACGCTCACGGATACTGTTGGAGTTAAAATGGCGCTGAACTTCACCGCAGGTAAGAATTCTCTTTTTGACCCTTTTCGAAATATTAACTGGGCAGGATTACTAAGTAGCAAATATCGAAGTAAAAAATGTCAATAATATTGATTAATTTAAAAATTATTTATACAGGCTGAAGATGTGAATGATCACTTTTTGTACTGAGTAATGAAGATGTTTTAAGGAATTTTGATTGTTGATAACTCATTGCTTTAATCAATTTCAGGACCATATGTGATTAAAAACTCTAAAATTGGACCTGGTTTTGAGTCCTACCTTTTGTTACTTCTGCCTTGGGGAATCATTTAACCTCTGTCACCTTTAATTACCTGATTAGTAAAAGCGTTTACCTCTTAGAGTTTTTTATGAGGATTAAATAAGATATAATGTTTTCTAGGTACGGTGCTAAGCACTTTAACTATAACGCTCATAAATGTTAGCTATTATTAGTATGGTCAGCATTTTCCCCTTGGCTGTGTGCTGTGTTTCAGCCCCAGCCGGCGTGGACTGCAGTTCCATCCTGGACTAACCACCTGGAGTTAGCGCAGGCTCCGGTTAGAGGTCATCTCCCTGACTAGACTACCCTTGGGTCAGATACCAGCCACAGGGCACGTCCCTGAGCCACCCACACTTCTAACCAACTGGCCACAAACTTGGGGATTCGCGTACTCCCTCTCAGGTTTAATAATTCATTGGAATGACTGACAAGACTCAGGAAGGTACTGTGTTTGCAATAACAGTTTTGCTGGGAAGACGCACATGGGATGGGGTCTGGGAGAGGATGCAGAACTTGCATGCCCTCTCCCTGTTGTGTCAGGGTGCCTCGCTGTCCTCACTGTCCTGGTGCATCAGTGTGTACACCAGCCAGGAAGCCCCAGTGCCTTGGTGTTCAGAATGTTTACTGGGGCTTCATGATTAACTCTTTGTGTTATTGAACTCAGTCTGCTGTCTCCCTCCCATCCCTGGAGGTCAGGTTGACTCGAACTCAGACCTCCTCTAACCATGGTTAGTCTTTCTAATGACCAGCCTCATCCTGAAGCTGTCCAGGGGCCACCCAGTGTCACCTTATTAGGTTACAGAGGCACATCTGTCACTCATGAACTTCCAAGAGTTTTGCAAGCTCCCTGTCGGGAACCCAAGACAAAGACCAGACAAATTCTTCATTATTCCACTCTGGGTAAATAGATGATGATTCTTGTAAGTTGCTTGATCTCTGAATCCTCAAATTTGAATGCTACCAGCCATTCCTGTTCTCATAAGGATTTCGGATGGAAAGTAGTGCTTGTCACACACAGAACCTTTAAAATGCTCTGTACTTTTCAAAGCTCTTTCTCACAGTATCTCACTTAATTATTGCAAGAACTCTCTGGGAAGTATATGTATTAGGTTAGTCTGTTTGGGCTATGTGTGGTGAAAACCCAGTTTATACAAAAAAGGAACAGAATTTGCTGAAGATGTCACTGGGTTTTTACTATCTGGGGCACTGGGATTCTCGTGGAAGCCGTAAGCATCATGAGTGAGGCTCCTTTAGGGACAGCTGGCACCAGGGCCTGCAACACCATTGGGATTTTTTTAATCCGTTTGCTGGTGTGTTTGTCTATGTGTCAATCTCCAGAGCCTTCAGTGAGGTAAATTGCTTTTTAAAAAAAAAATTATACCAAGTAGAACTTTCTTGGCTTCATTAATGTTTTCTCTACATTGTCAGTATTTTTAACCTTTTAAGTCCCAGATACCTTTGAAAATATGTTGAAAGTTCCAGATCCTTTCCTGGGAAGACAACTATATATACATGTGGAAAATTTTACCTATTTTTCAGCCCTGTCTAGAGAACTCAGATTTAAAATTCTCTGCTTGCTCTGTGGCTAGCCTGCTAAATATCATGTCCAAAGAATTTTAGTTATTCATGTTACAGTTCTAGAGGAAAAGTACTCAAGTGTGGAACATGTTTGGATTTATGTGTTAAACTTATTCTGTGCTTGGCTGGAGTATTTTTGTGGAAATGATGTGTTTCCTTGTCATTTAGTCATATTGATTATGTCTTAGTAATGGCCTCTCTCCGGCTGTAGATCAGTGACTTCAGTGGATTTTACCTTCTCTGTGTTTAAATTATTCCAGGTATATTGCACAGCAGAATGTTCCAGAATTTTCCTGCCAACTTGCTGCTGTCATTAGCAAAAGAACCTCTGACTGCAAACTTCCACAAGTGGAGCCTCTCCGTGAAGGTATCACATTAATCACACAATGAAATTAATGCATTTAAATTTACCATAGAAGTAATTGTTTTGTTTTCATTTTTGTTTTATTTCTGTACTTTAGAATTTTACGATGAATGAAAAGTTGAAGAAGTTTTTCAACGTATTAACTACAAATACAGATGGCAAGATTGAGTTTGTTTCAACAATGGAAGGTACGTATCACTGCACATGTATGCTTTATTTCACTTATTATGTCTGTATTTATTAATTTTGATTTTATAATTCTCTTAAGAATAAAATCATTTTACTTTGGAGACTGAAGTTGGAAGTTAGGGCATTTGTGGAGACAGGAGACCTGCTTTGTCCCTGTTCCAAATCCTTCTTCCTCGCCCCAGTCTGGAAGATGAGCCAGGTCCGCCTCCTCCATCCCTCTTCAGCATCAGGCATCTCCCACCTGGGTTGCAGCGGGAGCCTCCTAACCGGCCCACAAGCCTTCCAGCCAGCCGCCGCCGATGCCTCTGACACGCCGGTCTGGTCGGATCGCATGAGGAAGGCTCCTGCGTGGCCCTTCAGCACGTGGAGGGTGGAGCCTAGATTTACCGGATTGTGTTCTCCGCCGACTCTCCCGCCATCATCACTAGCCTGTGTTCCCGTGCGTCCCCTGTCGCGCACACAGCCCTCCTCCGCAGAGCAGCCTTTCTCAGCCCTGTGCTTTGTCCTGCGTTCTTTCCTCTCCTCTGAAAAGCGTCCCTTCCCCCATCCCCTCTGCTGATGAGCTCTCAGCTGGCTCTGAGGACGCAGGCCGGTGGTCACCGCCCGGGGGGGCTGTGCCTGCCCGTTATGCCCCCCCCACTGCCGCGTCTGCGGTGCTCCTGGGCCACCTGGGACGGCTGTCTGCCTTATCTGCTCCTGTTCTGGCTGTCCCCCTAGGCCGAGAGCTCATTGCGAGCTGGAGCTGTGGCGTTGTCTTTATGTTTCCAGGACTTACGTAAATCTCAGTAGAGGTTGAATGGACGACTCATTATTTAAATGAAAGACTATTGGGTTGGAACTTAGGAAGTCAGGTTCCATGTTGGTTCTCTTCCTGGCTATGCCATCATACCAGGCTCATTTGGAAATTGTATCCTCTGAAAACGTTCTGACATCTGCTGACTGGGAGCTCGTGAGATGCTCTTACTCACTTATTTCCTTTCTTTTCTTGATACTTTTGTTGTGAATTAGTGAGGCAGGGCGTGCTTCCTACAGTTGTTGGGAACCTGCGTTGATCTCTTAGTAAAGCAGTTTACAAAAGAAGAGTAAATCTCACTTGTTTCTGGTTGTCAGTGTGTTTCTGTGTATCCATCCATCCATCTATCTGAAAAGTCTTTGTTACAATTTATCACTTAAGGCATTTCTTATCCTAAATAATACTTTTCTTATCTCAAAGAAGTACATTAGAAGATCTGCCTTTCAGTCACCTCTGTGTAGCAGTTCATTTCCTAGTCATCCAGGCTGGGGGTTGCCTGCTGGTAGCTTCACATGTGGTCCCAGATGAGAGAGAGGGAGAGAGAGAAGGAGGTCACGAGGAAGCAGGGAGAGGGGCTGTGGGGAGCGGCGGAGCCGTATGACCAGGGCTGCTTGCTGGTGGATTCTTTTCCTTGTGTGAACCCCAAGAAGCTGGGATAAAATATGTTTCCTTCTTGTGACGCGATCTCTAGCAGCAGGGTTTCATGGGCTGTGAGAGGACAGTGCCCTTTCCCCAGCTGCCTCTGCTTTCAGGACAGGTCCTTTCTCCTGGCGTTCCCCCACGGTCGTCAAGGTTAGAACTTCCAAGCAAAAATAATAACAGGAAGGAGTTTTTTCCAATTAAAATGAGGCAAGGCGTATGTGAAGAAGAAAAGAGATGAGTTTATAAATTTTTCAGAAGGTAAATATTACACTCATTCACATTTTTTAAAAATTGTGGAATTTTAAAAACATACTTAGAAGTAGAGTAATCTAGTGACCCCCAGGACCTTTCTGTAAGCGTCAACAACTGTCACATTTGTGTGGCCGTTCTTGTTTCGTAGCTACTTTGGCACCATGCCAGGTTATTTTTGAAGTAAATCCTAGGGATCATGTCATTTTAAGTATAAAGGTATTTAAGAATTCTGAAAATAATTGAACTATGTTACCAAAAATCTTTCACACCAAATTTAAACTTTTAAAGACTATTTAAAAATTGTCACAGTGAGGTCACAAGCCATTCCGCAGACTGAGAGAGAGACATAGTTTGGTTGAGACAAACTGGCTTACATAAAAGGACACCAAAAATACTGGCATAGTTCATATTCATTTGAGTAAGTCATTACAGGAGAGGATGAAAATGCGGTATGAAGTGGGGGAAGAGAGACCCTTGTGGAAGGAGCTTGTCTGTAATCAGACGTGCACTTGACTGTTGAGCTGGGAGCTACTCAATTATTTCACTCTACTCTGATTACCTAGTAAAGCAAATCATGTTTCAAATTGTAAAAGGTTGAAAGTCAGTGAAGTATTGTATTACGAACTTTCGTATCGACTGAACTGAAATTATTTTGTCTGAGAAAACGTGCACAATTGTACTTTCATACTGTGAGTGATAAAATAATGTTTTACATCGGATGTAAAACATAATTTAATGTAGGATGTAAAGCGTAATTTAATACGTAACATCCTAGACCATTCTTACTACTTAATACTTAGCAGTTTGTGTTCTTCCTGCAGGATACCAGTATCCAGTATATGGCGTCCAGTGGCATCCAGAGAAATCTCCTTATGAGTGGGGAAAATTTAGAGGCATTTCTCATACATCTAATGCTGTGAAGGCTGCATTTTACTTAGCAGAGTTCTTCGTGGCTGAAGGTAATATGTGGGGGTATGATTTTATCACTTTGGTGTGGTTTTGAAGGAAATTGCCCTTGTCTGAACTTTTGTGTACTCTTTTGCTCTATAAATATTCCCTAGATTTAACTTTTAAAAACATTAATTCATGTGAAAACCCTGAGATTGAGATATTAGTCATTTAAATCCAATGGACAGTCATTTCAGTTAACAGTATTATACACTCTAAAGTGGGCTGAATTCTTGAACAACAGCATAAGGACTGTTTTTTTTTTCCTTTCTTTCTTGAATACTTTATTTTTTTTAGATTCTCCCCATTACTCTTTTCAGGAATAATGCTTGTATTTTAACATTCTCTGAGAATTGGGTCTTATTTTTTAAGACAGTTACATAAATCGAATCTATACTCATCAGTCTGTGATTTTAAGGCTGCCTGTGAGCATTGGTACACTGGAGAAAGTTAATACACTTTGCCTGCTTTTTCATGATGGAAACACAGACGTATTCACACTTTGTTATCTTCATGGGTTAGCTGAGAATTTGGTCATAGGTGCTTAAGTTTTAGTTGAGTGGCACGGGTGTAGGAGCTGCAGACCCAGCCTGCAAGGAACAGGGCATCACTCAGGCACGGGGCGGCTGAGGGGGAACTTCAGCGAGCCTTGTTTGCATCCTTTCTCCAAGCTGGCCCCACGTTTTTATCAACCCTCCTATCCACCCTCACAGGTAAAGTGCCTCTTTCTAAGGTCTCCATGCTTTAAAATCACGCTCAGCTGATAATAGTCCCAGGAAACATTTTCATGTCCCATGTGTAGGAGTAAACGAGGAGAACAGTGGGCAGAGAAAAGCTTTTTGCAATATTATCACCGAGCAAGGCTATATGTGGTTTGCATTTTCCAATATCCCTCTTTCTCAAGATGCCGTAAAAGCCTATGTTTGCTTTATTTTGCCTTGAGGGTAAAGTCTGAGCGCTCACACCCTCACACCCAAAGTGTAGCCACGCCAGCTTCTCTGTGCCTCCTTGTTCTTCACATTTCTGCCTTCTCTTTGGGAAGTGCCTCACTTCTCCACCTGCCTCAACTTTGCCAGTTTCTCCATCCTCTTTACTCTGAAGCATCTCCATGCAGTTAGTCTATAAAAACATTCCAGTATCTGATTCTGTGTGGTTGCTGGACCAGAATTCTTGAGTGTTAGGACCTCGCCCTGTGTGTGTTTCTGTCCACAGACCCTGCATCGGGCCTTGCACACAGTAGGCACCTTGTAGGCATCTGAATGAAAGAGGGGGGCCGTGGGTACCACTTGGGGTCCAGTGCAGGGCTGGCATGGCTGCTGTCAGTCGGTAACTACTCCAGGTCAGGTGCTGCTTTACTTGGCGGAAATTTGGGAAGACATGTCTCCTTTTTGCTGGTATTGTCCCACTCAAGAATGCTGATTATAAGAAGAAATGTTGTAAAGTAGCCTTTTGAAAATTCTATTCTGTCTTTGTAAAAATTAACGCTTTCTTTCTCTTGCAGCTCGGAAAAACAATCATCATTTTGAATCCGATGTTGAAGAAGGCAAAGCACTAATTTATCAGTTCAGTCCAGTTTATACTGGGAATATTTCTTCATTTCAACAAACTTATATATTTGATTGAAAGCCTTTGATGTGTTAACAGGAATTTTGATTAATTCCATGATTAAATTGTTAAAATAATTTGCTATATATGGCAAAAATAGAAAGTCACAGAGATTCCTTTTCTATGTGTTACTGGCTCTGATCCTTCATTCGGTTTATTTGACTATTTATATCACATTTGATAGTCAGTGAGACAAATGATCATAGTGTATTTCACAGAAAAACTTTTATGTGAGGTTTTGACAAAATAAATATTGAAATTACAGATATTTTTTCTAACTGATTGATTCTGGAAATACATACCACTCCCTACCCATCCGCTTCATTCTTGCTGAAGATTGTTTTTTAATTAATTTTTTTATTGAGTTATAGTTAACATACAACATTATATGAGTTTCAGTTATGCAAGAGTGATTAGATATTTTTATACATTTCAAAATGATCAGCACAATACGTCCATTTACTGTCACCGCATGATGTTGTTACAATATTACTGTGTTTTCTATGTGTGTGTTACATCCCCATGATTCATTAATTTTATAACTGAAAGTTTGTATCTTTTAATTCCCTCACCTGCTTTGCCCAACCCCCTCCCTCCCTCCCCTCTGGTGACCACCTATTTGTTCTCTGCATCTGTGACTATTTCTGTTTAGATATGTTTGTTCATTTGTTTTGTTTCTTAGATCCCACATGTAACTGAAGTTATACAGTATTTGTCTTTCTCTGTCTGACTTATTTCATTTAGCATAAGACCCTCCAGATCCATCTATATTGTCATAAATGGCAAGATTTCATTCTTTTTTATGGCTGAATAATATTTCATTGTGTATGTGTATATGCACAGTGGAATATATATGCGAATATATAGATGTAGATGTATATTATGTGTATATACGTATCTGTACATATGTGTATGTATATGTGTGTGTGTGTGTATTTATACCACATCTTCTATCCATGGACACCTAGGTTGCTTCTGTATCTTGGCTGTTGTAAGTAATGCTGCAGTGAACATGGGTGCACCTGTCTTTTTGAATTAGTGGCCTTTGCTTTCTTCACATAAGTACCCAGGAGTGGAATTGCTAGATCGTATGGTAGTTGCAAGTTCAGTTTTTTGAGGAAACTCTCCATCCTGTTTTCCGCAGGGGCTGCACCGGTTCACATTCCTACCAGCAGCGCATGAGGGTTCCCTCTTCTCCGCATCCTCACCAGCACTTGCTCTTGCTTGTCTTCTTGGCGATAGCCGTTCTGACAGGTGTGTGATGGTGTCTCGTTGTGGATCTGATTTGCATTTCCCTGACGATTGGCTGTGTGTCTGAAGACTCTTTTTAAACCTGCCTCTAGTTCACTGTGACGTCTCCCTCCTTTGAGTCTCTGGAGTATTTAGTGTGTTTGTGTATGTGTGTGTGTATGTGTGTGCACACACCTCCTGAAAGCAGTTTGTGTTTTGAACTTTTTGTCTCACACAATGTTTAACACAATAGGGCCTCAATAAATAGTTGTGACTATTTATAAATGAACTGTTTTCCATGGGAAAAATTATTTGAATGCTGTCATAAATTTACTTGGGCATATTTTAATATATCTCTCAATCTAGACTTCCGTCTTCAACCCCTCCCTATCCCATATACACTCACAAACACTGGATTGCAGGCAGTACAACCAAGCAGGTAAAAGGATATTTTGTGCCGTTTCTGACAGCATGTGTATGGCTGGGCGTCTGTCTTACCTATCAGAATAGCAAGAAAATCTACCACTTTCTCGTATGAGAAGAATTAGGAGAAAAAGGCCTTTTGCTCATTAGAGACAGAAACTTTATTATTAAGCTTATAATTTTCTGGCATTTAAAATTTTTTGCTCTAAAAATGAATAAAGTTTGTAGTCCATATAACACTTTCATTCTCATGGTTTAAAATTAATGGAAGGATTTTGCAGTGATGAGTCAGGAACACTAGGTGTCAGGAGAGAACCAGCTAACCTGATGTTTAACAGGTTGTGTTTCCTGTTCAACCAGTTGGAAGAGTAGATATTTTTTAAAAAAACACCTTTATTGTGTTTGGTTCCTGTAAGAATACGGAATGGAGAAAAGACAGTTTCTTCAGTAAGTGGTGCTGGGAAAACTGGACAGCTGCCTGTCAAAGACTGAAACTGGAACATTCTCTTAACACCGTATACAAAAATAAACTCAAAATGGATTAAAGACTTAAATGTAAGACCAGATACTATAAAACTCCTAGAGGAAAACATAGGCAGAACACTCTTGGACATAAAGCACAGCAATTTATTTTTTGAATCAGCTCCTGGAGTAATGGAAATAAAAGGAAAAATAAATGAGATCTAATTAAACTTAAAAGCTTTTGCACAGCTAGGGATGCCAACAACAAAATGAAAAGACAACCCACAGAATGGGAGAAAATATTTGCAAATGATGCGACCAACAAAGGACTAATTTCTAAAATACACAAACATACATCTCATACACCTTAATACCAAAAAAACAGGTAACCCAGTCAAAAAATAGGCAGAAGACCTAAACAGACATCTCTCCAAAGAAGACATCCCGATGGCCAACAAGCACATGAAAAGATGCTGAACATCACTAATTGTCAGAGAACTGCAAATCAAAACTACAGTGAGGTATCACCTCACACCAGTCAGAATGGCCATCATTCAAAAGTCTACAAACGATAAATGCTGAAGAGGGTGTGGAGAAAAAGGAACCCTCCTACACCGTTGGTGGGAAGGTAAATTGTTGCAGCCGCTATGAAGGACAGTATGGAGATTCCTTAAAAAACTAAAAATAGACTTACCATATGATCCAGTAATCCCACTCCTGGGCATATATCTGAAGAAAACTACAAAAAGACACATTGCACCCCAATGTTCATAAGCACACTATTTGCAATAGCCGAGACATGGAAACAACCCAAATGGCCATTAACAGAAGACTGGATAAAGAAGACATGGTATATGTATGCAATGGAATACTACTCAGCCATAAAATAGAAGAGTAGATTTTATTTAGCTCGTGATTCTGTGGGTCTGCTGGACAGTCCTTTGGCCTGGGAGGGTAGTGAGTTAGCATGCACGTGCCCTGCCTGAGACCCAGGTCCTTCCAGAGCAGGCCTAGGAGGCGCTGAATGCATTGAGAGGGGGTTAATTCACTTCTTCAGCTGTGAACTGTGTCTTTTGTCCAAGCGCTGGGCCGGTTGTCCACTGTGGCCCTTTCAAAACATAGAAATAGAACTGCTAAAATTTTCAGCCTCAAGGCTGACAACCTGCTACTGCCACTGAGCTATACCCAGCCCCCCTTGTAATATGTTTCAATGTATGACTAATGTTTTCTTACTGGATTCTTTTTAAAGAATTTGTTTTGATATCGTTTCCTTTTTATATGTTAAGTTTGAGTATGAGAATTATTTTGTTGAGTCCTCAAAACCCTCCCCCTCCTCAACATGCATTTTTATTGCCAGTACAATAAGCCCATATGTTTATTAAAAAAACTCACACCTTCACAATGTTTAGCTTTTTTCACACAGAGGTATACAATGCATCTTTTATTCCTCTTAATTTAGTTAGGTAGTTTCATATACATTTCTTACTAAAAATTTTCATAGGTGTCTTGTTGTCTATTATGATTTCTCAATGGGATTTATTAATTTCCTTTCTGAATGGAAAACTTTAAACATACATCCCTTGGACTCATCAGAATAAGATGTCCTTTAATATTTTTAACGGATTTTTGTGTTTGGGGGCTGTGATGGGGTCTTGGTGTACTGACCTTCCACTGATACTTGTCTGTAAATCTTGTGCCTGTTCTTTTTTGAGCCATTTAGTAATTCTAGTAACGTTTAAGCTGATTCCTAAGGGCTTATGATATTTTATTTATTATATATAATATATGTGTTCGTAAATGTCTGTAACTGTATATTACACATAAATATATTAGGATTATTAATTGACTTTTTTTTATACATATATGCCTTTTCCACCTTCTACGTGATGATTCTTTCCTGGAAATAAGAAATTGAACGTGCAAGGAGGGCTGAATCATTTGGATATTTAAATGGTGCAATTAACATAGAATGGTTGAGGTGTACAGACGTGTACTTTACACGAGTAAAAGCATTCCAGGAGGCGAGGGAGTATTCACAGCATGTAATTGTCCGGATGGCATTAGCCCGAGCCAGCTGTTTACAGGCAGGATCTGGTGTGTGTGTGGACTGTTGCTGCTCTGGTACTTCCAATTAAGGTTTCACCTACTCTTTGCTTTCAAACAGAAAGGTCTGACAAACTATGCAGTGCCTCCAGGTCCTCCTGGAAGCCACACAAGTGATGCCCTCGTGTTGAACTGCACTTTAAAGAAAGAGCTGATGCTGTGCTAATGAATGTGTCAGGAGACTGCAGTTCCAGCCTCGTCGCTTCTAATTAAGGCCTCGGGAACTCTGAGAACCTTGCCAGGTCTCTGCCTTGGGCCATTTTAGTGTGTTACCATTTTAAAGTCTGGCTGCTAATTTTGGTTTTTTTTCCCCTTCTGTAGGATTTCCTCAATTGTTGTGATAGAAAAGTCATTTACTTTCTCTTTCATAATAGAAACTTTCTTTTCTAGAAACTTTTAATTTTGAATTAATTTGTTCTTACAGAAAACTTGCAATCCCTATGCAAAGAATTCCCATCTATCTTTGACACAGATTACCCAGTTGTTAACATTTTATATGTTTGCACTATTGTGCTCTCTGTCTCTGCTTTGTGTATGTGTGTCTATGTGCACTATGTATGCATACGCCCACACGCGCGCACACACACACACACACACACACATTTTTTTTTAAACTACCTGAGATTAAATTGCTGGTGTGTTACCTCTTACCCTGAAATACTTCAATGTATATTTTCTAAGAACAGGAATATTTTCTTACATGATACTGTGTAATTATCAACATCAACAAACTATTAAAATCTTGGCAGTTGTCCTGCTGTTGGTCTTTAGAGCAAATGAAACAAAAAAGTGTTGGGGCGGGGTGGTCAGGGATCTAATCCAGAACCACGTGCTGCATTTAGTTGTCATGTCTTCTCAGTCTCCCTTAATCTTTTCCTCAGTCTTTATCGTTCATGACCTTGAATTCCTGGAGACTATAGGAGAGTTATTTTGTGGAAGCTTTCTCTTAATCCTAAAAATCCTCAATCTTCAACTAATTCCAGAGGCATGACCTTTAACTTGCAGTTGAGGCTTTCTTGCTTCCCACTCAAATCCCCTGTCAGCCC